AAAAAAAGTATACTAGCGGAGACAATAATGCCATCATACAAAATCGAGGAATCGATACAATCAACATATAAATACCATAATATTGCAATAACAAATCACTCGTAATTCCTCTGATAACATCATTGAATGTCCAAAAAGACAACATTTAAACAATAGAAAATGGACAAATTTGAAAATTAAATCCCTCATTTTTGCTCCACAACAGCCAAGCAATTATCAACTAATTTGGCCAAATAATCAATTTGAGATGTCAAAAGAGGTGGCAACTTAGCACCCATTTCTTCAAATGCATCAGAGCAATCGCTGTTATATGCAGCACTCAGATGTGTCAACAACGTGCCTTCATCTTTCTCCTCGAGTGCCTGCAAACTCCTCTCGAGGTCGTCCACTGTGGTTTCAAAATCCTCAACACACGTCGAGAGAATAGAATCCTTCGTTACGGGTTTCAATCGCGAAAGTACTGGTCCGATCAGATTGGACATTGATTGGAGTTTTTTGGCAGCAATAAGTGCGTTCTCTATAACGTTTTTGGATGCATCATGCACGGTTTTTGCACCATTCACCATTTTTGTGCAGAGTATTTTGTGGGTTGCAGTTTTGCAGAATTCATTTAAGTATTGGGATTGAGTTCTCTGGGCAAGGAGAAGAATAGCAGCCATGGCCAGAAAGAGCAATGAGATTTTTGGAGCCATTTTTTGGGCTTTATTTTTTTCTTTTGACTCCCTTTATCTCTCTTTTCTTATTATTCTCTCTGGAATCTCTGGAGTCCAGAGTCACACGTTACAAAATACGTTATTTTTGAGATATTTGGATTATATATAAGTGTTCTCCAGACAAAAATGGTTGCCTATTTTTTCGGAAATTACTGCAACTGATGAAGGGTTGTCCTCGATGATGGAGAAGTTGTGGATGTCGGTTATTATGAGTAGTTATGGCATCGATTTTTAATGCTAAGAACGTGCACTTTCGCACATTAAGTTGAACATGACAACGAAATTTGTGTTGCCTGTTAAATTTGTTAATTCTATTTATAGTAGCATATTAAGCCCTCGTTTGAGACCCATTTTTTCGAAAAAATATTTTTTCAAAATTCATTTTCAATCACGTATTCTCCAATAAAATATTTTTATATGTAAATATAAAAATAAATTCTTATTTTTTAACCATATTCAGATATTCTCTAAAAAATCACTATTTCAAAAATAATTTTTTCCCCCTAAAATAGGGCTCAAACAAGGGTTAAATATGCTATTAGAATTTTGCATATTCAAAGCTCTCATATTGAAATTTTGAGTTTCATATCAAAATTTTAACTTACGGTCTTGCTAGGGGTAAATTCCACAGAGCTACAAAGGATAATTTTGCATATACAAGAAACCTGCTTTATCCGCGGAATAAGTTAAAAAATAATGCTTCTTGTACATCACTCCTTACACAAGG